TATAGCAAAACTTTTATTTATTTATTTATTTATTTATTTATTTATTTATTTTTGCTTGTGCTTTGTAGAAAACTATGAGCGTTTGGAAGCAGACAAGAAGAAACAAGTTCATAAGAAGCGACGTTTTGAGGGGCCGACCATCCGGTAYCATTCAGTCCTCATGCCGCTCGTCTCGCAGTCACTACTCAAAGAAGAAAACGTGGACGTCGAGGGGTGTGTATCTTCACCACTCGGACTCAGTTTAGGAGTAATGCATTAAACACAATGCTGATTTTGTATAATTATGCATGGATGTACTATAAAYAGTTTTATTTCTCACAGCCTGGATCAGGATGTTTCTCAGGCGGCACCACAAAATCCCACGACACCCTCCCAACAGCCCACCGGAGGCCTGTGCTCCAGGACTTTCATYACGTTTAGCGACGAGGAAGCTTTCGACGTGGCTTTTGCTCACAGTAGCCAWTCGAGCCCTCAGCTCCCCGTCCAGGAGATCTGTCCTGTCACCCACAAGGCGGCCCTGTACCGAGACCCGGTCACAGATATACCTTACGCCAACGCCCGAGCCTTCCGCATTATCCGAGAAGCGTACCGAAAATACGTGGCGGCTCATGGGTTTCCAAACACTTCGGGAGGGGGACAAGGAGGCGACTCTTCTGCCATGAAGGGCGTCCGGCAGAAAATGGTTGTCAAACAGACTGCCGTTTCCACGTAATTGGTTATTTCTTTCTTTAAAATTACGCAACTTTCATTCAGAGGGTTTTTATCTCACCTCAGTTAAATCAGTTGGATTTCTATGAAGTGTGGGGTGTCTCATTAATTCTTAATGTAAGAAAATACATAATTATTATTTGGACCAGATGAGGCAGAAGTGCATGAAAACCTACAGGATGACCTGTTTTTGATTTCAAACTGAAATATGTTGTACGTTTTAATGTTTTGTCTTTTTTACAGTTTATTTGTTTAGTTTTTATAGATATGCTCCTCAAAGAAAGATCAAATAAAACATTTAAAGTCGTAACATTTTTCTGGACCTTACTGTTAAAAGTGGCTTTGATAAGGTTTACATAAAAATCAGTATTCTAGTTATATGAACMCAGTCGTTCTGTTGTGTTTTTGTAGGTTTTAAAAGATAAACTCCTTCAATGTCCTAGTTTTTGATTTTTATGTCTGTCTYTCAATTTCTGGTCGTTGTGGTCCATTTTCGTTAAAGTCCAAACAGTGTTGCCCTGCAGACTGAATTTAAATGCAGCAGACAGTGAAAAGCATTTATATCGTGGGCTGCCTTTTTATGCCTAATAGCAGATAATTCGTTGGCTTCAGCCTCGAACAATACAGCTTTACTGATCCCTCTGGAGCCTTAGATTAGCTGTTCTATTTTTACCCTCTATGTACAATGACAGAGCCTCAGAGTCACCCCTCAGCACTTGAGTAATGTGCCACCTTTGACCCCTCCCTCACACACTAAACAAAAATCCCACCCCTGCATTTATCCCGCGGCTTTCTGACCCTCTCGACCAGCTTTAGCCTCATTAAGACCCATCACGGATAATGGAAACATTTAGCCATTTCTGAGGGCGAAAATACATTTTGCAAATGAAGAACATTTTTACTTCTATGTTTAAATATTGTCTTTAAATCTGTGTTTACTATAGCTGTATAGGACAAATGCTGAATGACTGCAATGACAGAAACCGAGCAGTTAAAGCTAAAAAAGCCTGAACACTAGTTAAAAGCTAAAAGAGCAATACTCTAGCTAAAGGCCAAAAGAAAGATGAATGCTAGCGTAAAGTTGCAAAACACTGTCTAAAMGAGAAAAGTAGAAAAGGGATATTTAAAAGATAAAAGTATCCAAAAACTAATCATCTAAATGCAACACATTCATAGCTAAAAGCTAAATTTACCTAAAGGCTAACCTAATGAAACATAGATAAAAGCTGCAAAAGGTTAGYTGAAAATGTAAAAAAACAAAAGGATAGCTAYAAGTAGCAAAATATAGTTTAAAGCCAAAAGTAGCAAAACCCKAGTTACAAGCTAAAGGCATCAAAAGTGTCATGAAGAAGTTGTAAACATCCASATAAAAGCTAAAAGTAGCKAAAGGTCAAATGTAGTAGAAYAGTAGCTAAAAGCTAAACAAACCGAAAGGCTAAAAAGTTAAAAGTATTAATTACAAAGTATGTTTTCTGAAGCACGTGAACAGAACTTGAAGAAACTGAAGGGTTCCAAAGGAAAATATATATTGGTCAAATTGAAGATGAAAATCCTAAAAATTTTTAAACGACAAAAATCAAAAGTCACAGCACCCATCTCCTAATCCTAATGTTTTTATCCATGACTGATTAAAAACAGCACGAAGCATGTAGAAGTAATTACTAACTTATTAATTAGAAAGGAAAAAAACGTACAAAGAAACAAAAACAGGAAAACAATAGTGTGAACGCTGACTCAGCATTACCACAGCTGCACCTGTACTGGAGCTTTTCAGTGTGACTTCTGCATGTCCTGCCTTCACAAGTTCAATAACTTCACATTTAATTATCAACATRATTTAAATATGCAAACACATGGCTTTGGGAGAATCCAGAGTGGATGAGCGGTTCTATTGGAGATACAAATATTTTAAKTAAGCACGGGTAGTTTCACAGTCTGTGATACTTAGAGCTACATCAACCAGACTGATGTTAATATTGTGGTGTGGTTCACACTTGAGTATAGGCAAATAAAAAKATGCCTTTTAAACCCCTATCAACCTCAACACTGGTTATTTGAAAGCAGCTGCTGCCCACACACCGAACCACTCGCTTTGGAAATGAATAATAATAAAAACCCCAAAAAACACTAATTCAAAAAGAACAAGTTATCCCTTCAAGCGGTGACAGTGGATTCAGTGTCAGTGCCGTGAAGCCGGCGTCTCTGTAATACATGAAGTGAAATGTTTATATTTGTGGCTCAGTTCTGCTTGGAAAGGTTCCTCTAATCTCCTGCAACAGGACAGGGGAGGCTTTGTCTCCCACATACTGCACACTGCATATGGTACCAGCTGAACAGTGTGCAGAAGAGGAAGAGAGGGAGCTGCATTATCACTCGTTCTCGTGTGGCAGTTGCCATGGAGACGAGTGTAGGTGGTGTACCATGCTGTACTTGGTGCTGTACTCCTTCCCCTTGTCTCCCCCCCCCACACCCAACACCACCACTCCTCCTCCACCCAACTCTCTCTTCTGTTGCCCAGCCTCCTCTCTGCTCTATCTGCAGCATCAACTTTCATTCCTTCGGATCGACTCGGAAGGGTTTGTCATTCAGAAAAAAAATAGTTTGAGATTAACATTTACTTTTACATCTGTTCATTGAAATAAAAAACATCTTAATAGTAATTTTTAAAGCTTTAATTCCATAAATTCAGATAGGTTTTTTTTTGTGTTTGTTTTGCTTTGTCAGTCTCCTCTTTTTGCACAAAGGCTATTCTTTTATCAGTTTCCATGGAGATTTAAGTGTGTGTGTGTGTGTGTGTGTGTGTGTGTGTGTGTGTGTGTGTGTGTGTGTGTGTGTGTGTGTGTGTGTGTGTGTGTGTGTGTGTGTGTGTGTGTGTGTGTGTGTGTGTGTGTGTGTGTGTGTGTGTGTGTGTTTTGTTGACTGAAGTGAGAACTGTGAGTGAAAGAGTAAGGATGTGTCATTTCCACTTTATATTTTTGGTGTAATTCAGACACGGTAATATTCATCCACTGTCCTGGGAAAGAGTTTRAGGCTCAGCAGCATAAAGGGACGTTTGACTTTTTCTGCAATTCTGATGCTGTTTTGGTCTTTTTTCCCCTGCAACCTGTACTTTCTGTGTCAAACGCAGCTACAACTATAAAATGCTATGTGTTTTTTTGATTTTTCAAACATAAAAAAGATCATATAAGAGATAAGATAAAACTTTATTGATCCCACAATGGGGAAATTTGCACATTACTGCAGCTTAATACAGGAGAGTCTGAGAAGAATAATGAAAGATAAATAAAAAAGATAACAAACAAAAACAACCCCACAATATACACATGATATATAGCAATGCACATACACACATATACATAAACACATATGCATATTTATATACATATATACACTGTAAAGTACAGTACAAAAATGAATGTATATGAAGTTGCATATTAGTTATGGCAGTGTAGGTGAATTGTCCAAGTGACTGATAACATCATGATGTGTTATACAGTCATACAAGTCTATTCAAGAAAAATAACTGGGATTCTGGTGCAATCCAAACAACAAAATGTGCCATTTTTATTGGTTTTCAAAAAACATTAGTCATTTCTCAACACAAGATAATCTTAGTTTCAAACTAAGCTTTTATTCTGACCATTAAAACAAAAGGTAAATAAAATAATTTCATGGTCACATTATGTTTACCTATCAGGGGTCACAAATTGTTCCTGAGGGATTTATGTAACACTGTTTTATGGACTGATCCACGACACGATGAGGGTTTGACAGTTACCAATATGCAATTTATGTAACATGTTTACATGGCGGACGTCAAAAATCAAAACAGAAAAATTACATTTGCCTCCGTGCATCTGTGCCCACGTGGACAGTTTTTGTTTTCAAGGGACAGGAACAAAACCCATCAGACTTTTAATGAGTTTAGTTTATTACCTGAATATTTCATTAAACTAAACTTGCAGACCTGTAAGTTAAACACATGAAAGTGAATGACCTTTATAGTTCAGCCAGGACTAAAAGTGGAAAAAGGACCACTTCACCTGCTGTCCTCACAAGACCCTGACCTCATAATAGATAAAAGGAGCTGATTTTACACATGAATATTGGTTCATGTGTTAGGAGGGTAAGTAATCCGCCCGAGGAGGCTGCATTGTGTGGCTCTCTTTGAAATCCTCTAAAAATAAGCGTAAATAATGCAGATATCAGAGGCAACTAATTGGCCTTGTAGTTTGTTGGTTTGTAGCAGAAACCAATTGCATTTGAACTCAAATGTGAGTTTTATCCTTGTTGGATGACCCCTGTGTTCATTTCAGGATGAATTCAAATGGGATTAGTGCTTTTCGGTGTTTTTATGCGATGTTGGTTTTGTCACTTGTCTGGTTGGAAGTGAATGGAACAAGCCAGACTCCAGCTAAAACACTGCAGCTGTAGATTAACGTTATGTTCAATGAATAATAATCAACAAATGTCTGTCACCCTGCAGGTGAGGAAAGGATTTGTCAAAGATAAGTGTATATGTTTTGATCATTGATACAACGCTCTTACATGTGCAGGAATTATTTCTAATTAATTAGAAATTGTGTTCAGCTCTAAAGAAGCTCCTGAGTCCTGCTTGTAAGTTCTTATTCCCAAACTCCAAATGTGAAATGAACTCACCACAAACCCGTATGTGTAGACTGAGAGCCTGGGACTTTTTTTAAAGCACCCTGGGGATGTTGTTATCAGAAATCCAAAGTGTCTGCTGCTACAGGATGACTCATTTTACTTCATTTGTTTCACATTTTGTTGCCAAATCAACTTCTAGGCTGCTGAGGGCAGAACTTTCTTAAAGTTAGAGTGGTCTTTATTTTATTAAATATATATA